GACATGAAGCATCTAGTGGGCATTCTATATAAACCAGCCATTTCTTTAAAATTTTCAGTTTCCTCTGGGAGCATTAGAATATTTGTTCTCATCAGTCTGGCCCTTTATTAGATATCTAACATACAGAAAGCAAAAACAAACAAACAAACCCAGCAAACTTTTGAGTTCAATAGCGTTTATTGAGCACAAGCGTGTCCATGGTTCTTAGTGAAAGGTGTAACTGTGCAGTGGAAGTATTGATAGCTACATGGGACTGTAGTTAGGGCTGGAGGAGAATAAAGTTATATCCCACATAGCTTGCTTTCCATTGCAATAGTTAAGAAATGGCAGGGATTCTTACAGAATTTCTATATAACGATAAGCTCAAGGTACTTTCAGCTACAGGAAGAAGCAAAAGTAGCTCATTATCTTGCTGGCAGGGTGAATGCAGTACGCCTCCTCTCAGTCTATTTGGTGTGGTTTATGGCTTGAGACTGGTGGGTGTTTCTGGAGGGTCATGGACTTGCCTATCACTGGTTATACCCATGACAGAACTTAGTCTCTCTATGACTCAGTCAGCACTCAGTCAGACAGAGCTGACCCAGCCCCACCCTTCTCCTCAGACTCTCCCTTCCCCTAAGACATGTTCTTCCTCATCAACAGAGACCTCATCTCTCACTGTCCTTGTCTTTTCTCTCACACCTGGTATGGTAGCCTGGATCTGGGGGGCCTTCGCCTTCCTCCTTTGCTTTATAATTTTCACTTTAATAAATCTTGAAATACAAAAATTGGCTGTGAATTTACAAAACTGAGAATACAAGACAAAAATGAAAGCAAAACAAAAAAATCATCGGTAATCTCATCTCATAAAGCAGGAATCAGAATATTTCTCTGTAAAAGACTAGAAAATAAATACATTTGTCTCAGAAGGCTGTCCAGCCTCTGCTGAAATGATTCAGTTCTGCCGACATAGCGCTAAGAAAGCCATAGTCAGTATATAAATGAACAAGTATGATTGTGTTCTAATAAAACTTTATTTATAAACAGTTGATGAGCTACACCGAGTCCACAGGCCATAGTTTGTCTTTATAGAAAAAAACTTTATTAACATTTTGAGGGGTGGATAAAGCATTTTCCCAGCATGTGTGAGGCTTGGGGCTTCACCCCCATCATTGCAAAGAAATACGTTTTATTTGAACATGTATATAATATATGCCTTTTAAAATGTGGTCGTATGGTACAAATGACATAGTAATTTTCTTTTTCGGTTTTGATCTGGAACATATTATGAAAGTCTTCCTATGGCTTTGTATTATTCTCCAGGAAGTTTTAGAAATGTAAACACTATATTTATATTCATTTTGAACCTTTTTTTTAATAACTGCCACTAAATTCCATCTCCAGTCTTGTAAGGTACTAAGTTTTAGCTTTTGTAATATTCCTAAATTATGGGTGATGACATTTCTTTGCATATAAATGCACAGTGAACCATCGTAGAAATTGATCTTAAGTGATTTATGATTTCTGTATTGTTTGATATCTGACAATAGGTCATACCTCACATAAGCTATTGAGACTGATGTTATTTTTAAGATCCAATTTTTCTATGAACCAATGTTATTTTTGTATTGTTTCCAGGGATGCTGGGGCTTTAAGACTTGATGTGTTTTCAGGTGAGCACACATTTCCTTTCTTGTTTTTTTCTTCTAAGAAAAAGCCTGTGGCTACTTTGCTTCTATTTTATTTCATCAGATCACACCACATTCTATAGATTTTTAATGCAATGTAAGTGCTTTGTGAACGCAGTGACCCTGTGGGAAACCAAACTGAGAAATGCATACTCTTGAGGGTCAAATTGCTCACTAACTGGAGGGTCCGTTTACAAAATGATGTCTTCTAGAGTTTTGTGAAAATCTCTGAGTGATACGGAGCCATGAATTTTTTTTGCCATGAGAAGCAGTTTTATTTTTAAAAATCACATTAATGTAATAGTTATTCATAATTAAGCATACATCAGTTCTGACTTACCACAGTTTAAAAAAGCTTAAGTGACTATGTGGTACAGATAATTGTCCAACTGCTACAAAGCACAAAGCAAGAGTATTTTCTTTATTGGCTTCATTTGTGGTCCCTGAGTGTTTTGTGCGCTTCTTAGTGAGTCTTGGTAGATTATGATGCTAACGACATTAGTTTCTGTGATGCAGTTAATGCTGCCTTTCTACACCAACACAGCCGTCATTCTGTTAGTTTTGGTCACACGAGAGAGGATATTGTCCATGATGTGATTCCATCTCTGTGCAAAATGTGTCTCATATCACTTAGGCTTCATAAGATTTGTAGGCATCGAAATCCCAAGACATGGGACACAATAAATGATGCTCTCTTCGGTCTTCCTGTTCAAATTATGAAAAGTTTGAGAAATAAATGAACAAATGAGTCTGTCAGTGGGACATAATATTAGGATGGGGTATGTAGTTTTTTTTTTTTTTTTTTGAGAGAGTAAATATGCTCACAGATCCAACATTAGAATTAGATGATCACAAAGGGAAAAAAAAAATAGATAACACTCAGGTACCTAAAGACAAGGAAGTATTAAGAAAGCTTCTAGAAGAAACCTTAATACCAGCTCATCTGAAAGGGAAACAGACGTGACCTAGCTGGTGGATCTGGCATGGGGAGGGTTTGTGCTATGCATTCAGTCTGAGGAGATATTCAAGATTAGTTTCAGGGAAAGTATTTGTTTGGCATTATGGTCAAGTGAGGGGATGCTTGGAGTTGGAGAGGTAGTGGGGGCAGGCATAACAGAGAAGTATGATATGTGATGTAGCTTGAATTTTTTTTTTTTTCTTCCTTGAGAGCAGTGGGAAGGCAGGATAGGATTTAAGCAGGAGAGGTGACGTGAATAGCTGGCCAGAATCAGGTTTGCACGCTGTGATTAGGAGAGGACAAAGTTAGGGAGCTGTTGCTGTCACTTCAGAAAATCCAGATTTTCTGAGTGAAATCAACAAAGCCTAATAGAGTAGTTTAATTCCAGAGGCAGTGAGAAGTAGAGAGCCAGACACTGAGGGCTCATGTCCTTGTTGTGGAGGAGGTGGATAGCACTCAAGTTTTGACTTGGCCAAAGCCTAGTGCAAACAGGAAACCTAGAGAAAGGCTTAAGTCTGGTGGACGAGCTGATTGATGGTGTTTACTTGGGGAAAGACAGGCTGATTAACAGTCAGTAGAGCTCTGAGCCCCATACCTTTTAAAGAAAGATTCATTTTTATTGTCTTTTAATGATGTGCGTATGTATTTCTGTGCATGGGTGGGTTTGTGCATGTGAGTGAAGGCCCCTGCAGAATCCAGAAATGAATGTTGGGTTCCCCAAGAGCAGGAGTTACAGGCAATTACGAGCCGCCTGATGTGGGTGCTGGGAACCAGATTTGGGTCCTCTGCAAGAGCAGCATGTGAGCTAAACCCCAGAGGCATCTCTCTAGTCCCAGAATGATTGCTTTAAGGAGGTGGGATAAGACTGTCTCCTTGTGGATAGTGGGAATGCCTAGATTTACCCCTAAGCTCCCAATGACATATGAATATATGTGTTTAGTGTGTCTGTCAGGGGAATCTTGGTCTTTCTGGGGAATCTTGGTCTTTCTAAGCTGTTTTTGAAAGAAATGTATTTTTGTGTTTTATTGTCTCTTCCATGAGTTACTATATTTAAAAATCTTCAGATTTGGCTGTCATTTTTGTGTATAGCTGCTGAGGCTAAGCAGTACCCTGGGCCAGGTACTTCTCAGTCCCAGTCCCCGAAGACAGAGGATAATGAGGAGCAGCTCTTAGCACAAGTACAAAATCAAACCCCTGTGAATCTCCCCAGATTAGTTTCCCCCTCCCCGCTTTGGTTTTTTGAGACAGGATTTCTCTGTATAACCCTGGGTGTCCTGGACTTACTTTGTAGAGCAGGCTGGCCTAGAACTTACAAAGATCCGCCTGCCTCTGCCTCCCTGAGTGCTGGGATTACAGGCATGCACCACCTTGCCCAGCTCCCAAATTAGTTTTATGGTTTGAATGTGGTTTGTCCTCTGAAGATTCCTATATTAGGCACTTAGCCCTCAGTGGAAAATGGTAAGGGATAAGGGGACTTTAAAGGTCAGGCATAGTATGGGGTGATTAGAGCCCTGGGGAGCTCATCCTCAGAAGACACTAACGCTGTTGTAAGTAGGTTGTCATGAAGTTTGGTTCCGGGCTTGTGGCTTCCTGACTTGCCAGGTGGTCACTCTCTCACATGCTCTTGCATTCGGTATTCCCACTGGCATTTGGTATACCATGAAGCCCTTACAGAGCTGAGCAGAAAATGGCACCATGCTCTTAGACCTGCAGATTCATGAGCTGTTTTTCTCTCTCACAAATTATCAAGCCTCAAGTGTTTAGTTACAGTAACAAAAATGGGTTAGTACAACTGAGTGTATCCTTTGATATTTACTCGTTGGCTGTCTTGAATTTTAAATGTGAATTCTAATTGGACTTTGAATATATAGTTGATTTAAATATGATAAAAACTTAAAGCAACAGAAAGCATGTCAATGACTGTCTGAGGACTAGGTCATGGTGATCAGGTATGGAAGGAGGAAATATTTGAGCTGTTAGGTGTGTTCTCTTGGATTGTGACGTTTTCATGCACATGTCAAAGTTAATAAAGCTATATGTTTCAGCCATATGTTACTTGTTGTGCGTATGTTAATCCTCAATAGCACTATTATTTAAAAAGGAAATGTGTTAGTCCTCATATCCAGCTGTCGAAATTATTGTCAGAGCTGGTTTACAGACTGTATCTAAAATTAGCTTTATTAGTTGTGGTTACACCTTTAACATTTTAAACCGCAGATGAGATTATGTAATTTAATGGCATCTCTTCATCATCAAAATTGACTTCAAATGACTCTCCCCTTTCCAGAAATCAAAAGCATCATTAAGAAGCAAATATTTGCTGCTACAAAGAAACACTCACCAACGGCTCTCAGAGGAATTAACTACTTAGAAGGGAGCCTGATGAGTTTAATAAGAATGGCCCAGATTTATGTTAGAATCACTGCATTGTTGGAAGGGCATAAGGGATGATCAGGTTGATAAACAGATCCTGGGGGTCACCTCTCACAGTAACATTTTCCCCCTTCTCTCGGGAAAATTACCTGGAATTTAAAGGGCCAGTTCAGGTCCTGTGCAGGCTCTGTCCTGCTGTATGCATAATTTATCCACCTGCAGATGCTGCGTGTTAATTTAAATAATTTTTGCTGTGTGATTGTTTTCCCCCTGCAGTTTCTTAGGAAGCTATAGCCAAGATTCCATTCCAAGCCCATCTCTCTTCCATACCTGGGGCTCCATGACTGCCATGGAGTAGGGCAAATAATTACGGGAGCAGCGTGATTTTTCTGATGAACAAATTAAGCCCAATATTTATTAGGAATAACTGCTTTCTCTTACAGTGTATAATGAAACACTACAGGGAGGATTCATGTTGTGTTTCCTGGATGACGGATGTGGCATGAGCCCTGGTAAGTTAATTATCTTGTTACCTAGCTGGCCGTGGAAGGAAGAAGTCTGCAAACCTGGAAAATAAATAAAAATAAATCGAACTATCTATTCCAAACAGAGATATGGAACAATTAGGGCAAATATATTGCAGACAACTTGTTTTGGATTTTTTTTTTTTTTTGAGGCTTAAATATTCTAGCTGGCAAAATAAATTCATTTTAACCATCTAAACCAAGACACAAAATGACTATACATGCTATAGTCAGAGCACATGAAAGACAAATCATACTGATTGTAAGACAGAAACACCCAGGAATGAACAGACTACAAATGGGAACAGAATAGACTTCGAGGTCTTTTTCTTGCTTTTTTTTTTTTTTTTTTTTTTTTTTTTTTTTTTTTTTTTTTTTACCTGTTAGTTGCAGGAGCCCTGAGGCAGTTTCCAATGCCTTTAGGCTATTACTAATTTTCTGCATAACCTTGAGAGAGAGAGAGAGAGGTTGTTTCTCCTTGTTCTTAGCAGCTTGTGGGTCTTCTCCCTCTTCTTGTTCAAAGGTTCAGTTGCGTTGACTGAATGTTCCCATCATAGCAGATACATCCACAATACAGTTTTGGATTTATCTTTGTATATTTAAGGGTAGCCCCAGTCAGTACATCATGGGAGCACAGTACTGACTCTGGGCAGCTCAAATGATGCTTCTGAACATGGCTGTGTGTTGTTTTGGATCTAACCTGCACTTCTTATAATGCTTTATGTTTCTTTAGCTAGGGTTCTGAACCACTCTATTTAGAAAATAGTGACGGAGTCCAAGCAGACCAGTCATTCACATATGTGTGGAAAGGGTGGCCATCACGACTGAGAACACAAGGAAAGCAGTTAACTTTTCTTTAGCTTTGATAACCATCTTTTGTTCCTAATAGCCACTGGGCAAGTTTAGAAAATGCCCACTGATGCCCCACTCAGCAGCTTGTTCTTACTTTGTTCAGATAGTTTTCCCTGGTCTCTTTTGATTAAAGTCATGATTTTCCTGTCTCCCCCTTCGTTCATAAGATTCCCTGCACTCTGCCCAAAGTTTTGCTATGAGTCTCAGCATCTGCTTTGATGCCCTGCTGGGGGACAGGAGCTCCACAAGAGCAATAGAACCAAAAAATCTGGGCACAGGGGTCTTTTCTGAGATTGATATTCCAACCAATGACCATGCATGGAGATAACATGGAACCCCTGCATAGATGTAGCCCATGGCAGCTCAGTGTCCAAAAGGGTTTCCTAGTAAGGGGAATAGGGCTGACTCTGACATGAACTCAGTGGCAGGGTCTTTGATCACCTCTCCCTGAGAGGGGAGCAGCCTTACCACAGAGGAAAACAATGCAGCCAGGCTCAGACTCCCTCCCTTCACAGGCAGCTCATAGTCTTACAGTTAGCTCCATCTACCTCTTGGTATTTCTCTCAGAGTACTCACTTTCTCACTTACAGATCTCCAGCCAGACCTGGCAGGACCCTCATCATTTGATCTTCCTCTCAGGGGCTGACCTTCTTCAATGCCATTTCCTAATCATTCTATCTGAAGAACATACTTCTTTGCTTCTCTGTCACATCCCTTTTTCCCCCTCACTTAATCATATAGGACATGATTTTAATTTCTTTTTCTTTTTCCTACCCTAATACAGATTTTAATGTCCTCCTGTAAGCGAAGTAGAAAATGCATGTGAGGTATATTTTTAATACTGATGAACCTGTCAATAAATGCTGGCTAATATTATCATGGATGCTCCACTTATGGCTTGGCTTACCTCCTTAGGAGAACATGTTGGCAAATGTGTTTAGTTTCAGACTAATGGTGTTAGCGGCCTTTAAATACCTCACACCATGTGATGCTGATCTGTGATGCCTGTCTGTGGCCAAAGGGGCATAGGGCCCCCACGTCACTCTGAGCGTGTCCTTGGCAGGCTAATAGGAAGAACATTCATAGTCAGAAGATCAGGTATGCTGAAGTGCAGAGGACTCCTTGCTGGAATCCTGAATGCTTTGGAGAGATGAGAACTATGAATCTACAAGTCTGGAAACAATCTCCTTGCTCCCCATGCAGCAGTGGAGAAATCTCTCTGTCCTCAGAGACCTGAACCAGGACCATGCCCAGGAGAAAGTTACTAGCTAGCAGACAAACTGCAGCATTCACATTTAACACTTCTTATGCTCAAGGTGGTGTATGAAACATTTTACAGCTGTATCAGCTAATTTAATTTGTTTTCTTCATCTTTGTCACAACTGCGGTATTAGCCCTTCCCTTTTAGAAACAAGGAAACTAAGGCCCAATATTTTAAACTTTATCCAAGGTCACCTGGCTAGGCCTGTCTGACCTTCCATACATCACCATGAGAATCTTTGTGATTCTGGGTCATGACACCAGATTCCTTGTTTGGGCTGTATCAAAAGCTATGGATTTGTCCTAATGTCCTGAGGCATGGGCGAAATAGCTAACCACATGCTGAAGTCAGACTCTTGTAATTACATTAAGAAATCTCTGTTGATTCCAGAGGAAGCTTCAGACATCATTTACTTCGGAACATCCAAGAAACGGTTGTCCACCTTGAACTTCATTGGGCAATATGGCAATGGGCTTAAGAGGTGAGAATTGTTTCTTCTTAAGATACTAGTTATTGGCTGATACTGAAAGGAATATGGAAGCAATATTTACAAGTAGGATACCAAAAGTTCTAGGTATCCTCTAAACTTACTTTGGAATATTTATACCCACAACTGACTCAGCTGTTTATGGCATTAAAAAGCCTCTAATGTAGAACAAGTTGAGTCTTTTCATAGGCATCCAAAAGCAGCCAGGTGTCATTGCATCTTTATGTTCTGTTTCTCAAAGGATAGTTGAGCATTGGTGTGGTATCTGCAGCTTCCTTTAGTTTGCTTCAACGTAAGTGAGACATGAGTGGTTCCTTTCAGGCCCCAGTAATTGGTCTTTTCAGCCTTGGCTGGAACTTCTCTCAGGCTGCCATATCTAAAGTAAGATCTGCTCAGATTCATCCCTTCTACTTTGAGAATTAGAAAACATTTGTGTACTCCAGGGGATGAGCCAAGGAGAAGGGTTATCGAAAAGAACAACCTGTAACAGTGAACGAAATCATGCCTTTTGTTCTCCTTTATTGGTGTCTGTATGTAAATCATGGTGCTCTTCCTTTTTAATATAGCGGGTCCATGAGAATTGGCAAAGACTTCATTCTTTTCACAAAGAAGGAAGAGACCATGACCTGTCTGTTCTTTTCTCAGACTTTCTGTGAAAAAGAAGGCCTCACTGAGGTAAGAGACGGGGCTTTCTTTTCATTTCCATGGCAACAGTGCAGTTTTCATTTAGCCTCTCAGGAGATGACATTGGCTACACTCCTTGCAGATTAGGTTCAGGCGTATGTTTGAGGAATGGACAGAAGGTCTCTGTACACTATGGGGTCACCGGAGGCCTTTTTGGAGAACTTAATTTTGTTCTCCTTGTGCCCAAATCTCCCAGAATCAGAAGCTGTCTTTGGCACAGTAATATTTCTTGGGGAAGCCTCCAGGGACCTTTCCACCATTTGTGTCATACACAGCTTATCACTTTTTAAATAAATAAACTGTTGAGGTCAGAGACTTAGAAACACAGTCTATAAAGAAACCGAATGCAAAATGGACTTAAAATTGTTAACTCTGGTGGCCACATTTTCAGCTCCTTTAGCTGAACTTCAGACAGTTCGTTAATTTACAGTGTTTGAATCGTGTTATGAATGTCAATTGTAATTCGGTACACCATATTCATATTTCAAATGCTGACTGCTTAGCAATGGTTAGAGTCTTTGGAAGGGGGAAAAAAAAAACAGCTGAAGACCCTGTCACCATTAAAACATTTTCTGCTTCATCACAGGATAAGTCAGACACATAGAAAGTGGTTAAATAACAAAACTGGAGTGTTGGTAAAAGAATGCTGCTCAGTGAGCATGTGTGGCTGTTATTAGCAGAATGTCAGGAATCAACAGCGTGGAGAGAGAGCTTAGAGAGCCATGAGTGGCCAGTGAGGGGCTTGAAGTCACAATATAACTTGCATCCGGGGAGGCTGGTCTGTGAAGATGGGTGTGGGGTTTGAGCTATGGCAGTATGAACCTGCTGCAGGGGTGGTGTCTGGACCAAAGCAGCCTTTAGTCAAAGAGGACCTCAAACACACCAAACACAGACACCCCCTCCCCCCAGTGTGCATCCTCTTCGGGCTTTACATTCCTTTTTTTTTTTTTTCCTTCCCTAGAACTCTTGAGAATAAAGGAAATAGAACTCCTACCATGAAGTCATATTAAGGAGTTTATTTCTTAGAAAATACCCCAGTAGTGCTTTTATTTTTTATTTATTATAATTTATTCACTTTGTATCCCAGCTATAGCCCCCTCTCTCATCCCCTCCCAATCCCACCCTCCCTCCCTCTTCTCTTCCCATGCCTTCCCCAAGTCCACTTATAGGGGAGGTCTTCTTCCCCTTCCCTCTGACCCTGGTCTATCAGGTCTCATGACTGTCTTCAGTGTCTTCCTTTGTGGCCTGGTAAGGCTGCTCCCCCCTCAGGGGAAGGTGATCAAAGAGCCAACCACTGAGTTCATGTCAGAGACAGCCCCTGTTCTCATTACTAGGGAACCTACTTGGAGACTGAGCTGCCATGGGCTAGATTTGTGCAGGGGTTCTAGGATATATCATTGAATGGTCCTTAGTTGGAGTATCAGTCTCAGAAAAGACCCCTGTGCCCAGAATTTTTGGTTCTCTTGCTCTCCTTGTGGAGCTCCTGTCCCCTCCAGGTCTTTCTATCTCCTCCTTCTTTTATAAGATGCTCTGCACTCTGTCCAGAGTTTGGTGTGAGTCTCAGCATCTGCTTTGATACCCTGCTGGATAGAGTCTTTCTGAGGCCCTCTATATTAGGCTCCTGTCCTGTTCCCTGTTTCCTCCCTCTTCAAATGTGTATTCCATTTGCCTTTCTGAATGAGGATTGCACATCTTACCCAGGGCCCTCCTTCTTGCTTAGCTTCTTTAGGTGTACAGATTTTAGTATGTTTATCCTATATTATATGTCTAATATCCACTTATAAGTGAGTATATACTATGTGTGTCTTTCTACTTTTGGGATACCTCACTCAGGATGATCTTTTTTAGTTTCTATCATTTGCCTGGAAATTTCATGATTTCCTTGTTTTTAATTGCTGAGTAGTATTCCATTGTATAAATGTACCACAATGTCTGTATCCATTTCTCCGCTGAGGGACATCTGAGTTGTTTCCAGATTCTGGCTCTTATAAATAAAGCTGCTATGAACATGGTTGAGTAAATGTCCTTGTTGTGTACTTGAACATGTTTTGGATATATGCCTAGGAGTGGTATAGCTAGATTTTGAGGTAACACTATTCCTAATTTTCTGAGAAAGCACCGGATTGATTTCCCAAGTGGTTGTACAAGTTTACATTCCCACCAGCAATGGAGGAGGGTTCCCCTTTCTCCACATCCTCTCCAGCATGTGTTGTCACTTGAGTTTTTGGTCTTCGGGCTTTACATTCTAAGGTGACACCATGTCACCTGAGCGTATGCCATAAACTATCCCATGGTGGTTGTTCTCTCACGAACCTCTTGTTTTATCTGGAATGAACAATCACCTAGTGTTGTGTGTGCTTACCGCTGTCATTGATAATGTCCTCAGCTTTCCCTGTTTGCACCATTTGGTTAACCCCATCCTCACACTGCAGTCATTACCATCTTCCCCAGTAAGCTCTGCTCTGGAGCCCGCCCCTCACTGTGGCTCATGCCTCTGCCTCCAAGGTTGGCATTCAGCTGCCATGCAGGATTTGTCTTTCCTTCATCCTGTATGTCAACCCTCTCCAACCATCTCCTATGTCAGCTCTCAGATACTAAATCTCCCGTGTGTGTGTGTGTGTGTGTATGTGTGTGTGTGTGTGTGTGTGTGTGTGTGTGTAGCAAGTCCACTTGGTGTAACCCATACTATACTTGGTTCCTGAGGCAGAGAGACTCTCTATGCCCAAACATCTGATCCTACCTTACACTTGGTAATAGTTTGGCTTGATGTTATTTCTACGCTAGGCTTTATTTTCCTTTGAGATTTGGAATGCATTGCTCTGTCATCAAGTTTCTAGTCTTGTGATAGAAAAATCTGAAGCCATGTATGGCCATACCACCCTGAACATGCCCGATCTTATCTGATCTCAGAAGCTAAGCAGGGTCGGGACTGGGTAGTCATTGGGTGGGAGGCCGTCTGGGAATACTGGGTGCTGGTGGCTTTTGGCCATGAGCAGGGTGGGGAGGGGGAGAAGAAAGAAAAATCTGAAGCTATTTAACTTCATTTTGTCCTCTCACATGGGCTTTCTTTTTTTCTCTTTCTTTCTCCCTCTGAGAGATCCTTCCTTATCCCCAGTTCTGATTTCAGCGTTTTCCCTGTGTGGTCTATTTGCAAGCACTGTGCTGGGCACAGTAGCCTCTTTCCATTCTAGAAACTCATGCTTCAGTTCTGGAGTGGTTCCCATCCAACTTATGATTTTTTTTCCCACCTGGATTCTCTTTTGTCTCCTTTTACAGCTCCTGTTTTCAACACTTAGATTTTTTTTATTTTTTTTTGTTATTACAATTTATTCACTTTGTATCCCAGCTGTAGCCCCCCCCCCCCGTCCCCTTGACCCTGAGATTTCATCTCACACCCATCAGAATGGCTAAGATAAAAAACTCAGATGACAACACATGCTGGAGAGGATGTGGAGAAAGGAACTCTCCTCTATTGCTGGTGGGAATGTAAACTTGTAAAACCACTTTGGAAGTCAATCTGGCGCTTTCTCAGAAAATTAGGAATAGTGATTCCTCAAGATCCAGCTATACCACTTCTAGGCATATATCCAAAATATATTCAAGTACACAACAAAGACATTTGCTCAGCCATGTTCATAGCAACTTTATTCGTAATAGCCAGAACCTGGAAACAACCCAGATGCCCTTCAGTTGAAGAATGGATACAGAAACTGTGGTACATTTACACAATGGAATACTACTTAGCAATTAAAAACAAGGAAATCATGAAATTTGCAGGCAAATGGTGGGAACTAGAAAAGATCATCCTGAATGAGGTGACCCAGAAACAGAAAACACTTAGATTTGTAAATTAAAAGAAAAAATTCTTGACTTCTGTGTCTTTGTAGTTTTGCTTTCTTTTCTTTTCCTCCATAGCTATCTTCTCATTCCTTTCTGACATTTCCCCTGTAATGATTCTAATTTCCAAGAAGTGTTCCTTATTTGTTCATTGTTTCTTTTTCAGAGATAATTCTGTTTTTACTTCAAGGACATAGCATTATCTCTTATAACTAAATTTTTTTACTCATGCCAGTTGAGCTATTTTTTTAAAATTTTTTGTTTTTATATGTACTGGAGAATGAACTCAGGATCTCAGACATTTTAGGTAAATTCTCTATCACTGAGATGCATCCTCAGCTTAAATTAAAAAATTATTTTGACACAGTGTCTCATTAAGTTGCCAAGGTTGACTCTGAACTTGTGACCCTCGGACCTGTGCCTTCTGAGTAGAGGGTATGTGGGCATATATAGCCAGCTTATTTTGAAGGGTTCAACGTTTTTTGTTTGTTTGTTTGTTTGTTTGTCTCCCTGAAAGTCTCTCTCTGATGGCTTCTGTACCCACAGAATTGTTTTTAACCTGGTTTCTATTTAACATAGCAGAGGCTTAAATTTTTTTTTTATTATTATTCTTTGAGAATTTCCCACAGTATATTTCGATCATATTCACCCCTTCACCTCAGCTCCTTCCAGATTCTCCCCCACCTCCCTGTCCACTCACTTCCATGTTCTCTGTCATATCAGAGGGATTTTATGCTCATGAATCCTGAATACTTCAAAGGTTGACCTGTTCAAAGCTCTGGGAATGCGGGGAGGGGTTGGCAGCGTGAGTGCTGTAAACTCTCTAGCTGTGTTATTGGAGTAACTCTACTTATTGCCATTTATTTTTATCTGTGTGTTCGTGTGTGGGTGTGGGTATGGGTGTTGTGTATGTTTGCCTGTTGAGCCACCGGCATGTTTGTGGAGGCCAGAGGGTATTTGTGGAAACTGGTTCTTTTCTTCCACCATGTGGGTCATCCCAGGGGTTGAACTCAAGGCTTGGTGACAAATGCTCAGCAGCTCCGACAATGGGAACTTGAAAAACAAAACCCTGAGTATACCTATTTAGTGTCTGTCTCTTTCTTATAAATCTAGGCTTCAGGAGGAAAATAACTTTTAACTTTGGGTTTTGTAATTTAGAAGAACAGAATGAATTGGAATAAAACAAAGGAATGCTTGTGTGTGTGTTTCATAATAAATTGATGTGTTTTTAAAAACCAGGTTGTAGTTCCGATACCTTCATGGCTAACGAGAACGAGAAAGAGTGTCACAGACGACCCCCACAAGTTCTGCACAGAGTTGTCCATCATTTATAAATACTCCCCATTTAAAACCGAAGCTGAATTGATGCAGCAGTTCGACATGATCTATGGGAGATGTGGTAAGGTCACCAAAAGCCAAATTCTCGATGGAAGCATTCATTTTCATATTTTTAATTTGTTATCAATGATCTCAGGTGCGGATTCACATGAGGGTGGCCGTTCATCCTGTCCATATGAGTTTTATCTGAAAAGAACTCAGATACGAGTTACTGTACATTCTTGACACTGGAGAAAGGCTCAGGCTTGAGCTTCTGAATGAGCTGAGGGAGCCACAGAGGCTGTGCCCACCGGGCTCCTCAGACCAGAACTTCATAGCACTCAGCCGTCAGTCGCATCCCCTGGGATTGTGTGATGCTGCATTGCTGTGAGACTTAGCAACAGATGCAGAAATGTGCTGTTGCCCGTGGGGGAGTAAGCAAACCTTCATCTACATTCTTCTCCCAGACTGATGGATCCCCCTCCCCCAATCCCATTTCTGTCAGCTTCCACTGTCCTCTTAGCGTCTAGACTGCACCAATTACTGGAATTTCCCTGTGCCGTTCTTTCTTCAGACAGTCCCTATTTTTGTATCTGGAAACATAAAAAGAAGTCTGCTCTAGGGAATGCTGCATGTGTCTTGCCTGCCCTTAGCAATGTGTTGATTAATATAATATTTATAGCAAGATTTTGATACTTTGATGTCCAACTTGGCCTGCTTTATCTCTGAGATGCCTTCTATAACCTGTGGCATTGTATTTTTAAATTGTTACTTTTTTCTTCTGTCAGTGAAAAACAATGATGGTAATTAAATTAGCATTGATATCTTAGCATAAATGCTATAATCTTAATGTTTTAGGTTAGACTATGGAGTAATGGTTTTCTTGGCATCTTCAGACATGTCCTCATATTTTCTTCTCTTTCATGGCCACCTCCCTGCTCCAGCTGGTCCCTTCCCTTCCCTGAGTTAGTCCCCACTTCTGCTTTCCTAGTTTCATACTCACTACACTCTCTGCTTTCTCCCCTTCCTTAAGATCTCTTCTTCCTTGTCTTAATTTTCTTTTCAATCTTGTGACCCCTTCACACACATCAATACTTGTATATACACAGAGATAATAGTGTTAAATGTAGGCTCTATGTATGAGGGAAAACGAGCAGTATTTATATGTCTTAATGATCATTTAGTCTCTCAGAGGACTTCTTACTCTGAAGTGCTCATATGACTATTAGTAAGTGGTTTTTACTTTCGCTTGTTTTGTTACGCTTGTTCCATTGGCTAGATTAGAAAAAAGGGGTTTTTGTTAGTTGCATGCATGTATGCACGGTTTTGTGATCATTCTCACTCTTCCATTACCATCTCTTATTCCCCTCCTACTTGGTTGGCCTCCTTCTTCCCAACTAGTCCCCTCCTACTTTTGTGTCTGTGTGTGTTACCTGAGGTCACTCCACTGTTTAGTGGTTGATCCAGGATTTAGATATAGGCATTTAGACTGCATAGTTCCCATTTTCACTACCAAGTTGTTGTTCTTAACCCATGTGTTGGTCTCCCTACCAAAAAAAATGTAATTAGTTTGCCTTTTTGATTTCTCTGAAAATCACAGTTGTCTTCATATTGTAAACAGTTCTGTGAATAGTTTGGATATTTTTGGTTAATGATACCTTTAGAGCAGGAGTCAACAAGTCATAGACAAAGACCAAATTTGGTGATTTGTATTTATTTATTTATTCTATTTTATTATTTTTAAACAAAATAAAATATAATAGTATAAAATGAAAAACAAAACAAAACATTGTATTGAAGTTGAGTAAGACAAGCCAACAGGAAAATAAAAGGGCCGCAAAAGAAGAGACAAGAATCAGAGACTCACTCATTTACACATTCAGAAGTCCCATAAAAGTACCAGCACCATTTGTGAAAGGTGCTATCTTTTTTCCAGTGTGTATCTGTGGGTTTATTTTTTAAACCAGTTGTCCATAGATATGTGGGTTTATGTCTGAATCTTCAGTTTGATTCCACTGATCAATCTATTTTTATACCAACACTATGCTGTTTTTATTACAGTAGATTTCTAGTATAACTTGGGATCAGGAATGGTGTGACTTTCCATTATTCCTTTATTGTTAAGGATTATTTTAGCTTTCCTGGGTTTTGTTTTTTCATATGAAGCTGAGAATTGCTCTTTTAAGGTCCATAAAGAACTTTGTTGGAATTTTAATGGGAATTGCATTGAATCTGTAGATTGCTTTTGGTAGAATGGCTATTTTTACTGATGTTAATCCTACTGATCCATGAACATGGGAGATCTTTTCCTCTTCTACTATCTTCTTCAGTTTCTTTCTTAAAGACTTGAAGCTCTTTTCTTACAAGTCTTTCACTTGATTGGATAGAGTTTACCACAAGATAATTTTATATTGTTTGAGGCTATTGTGAAAAGTGTTGTTTCCCTGATTTTTTTTTAATTTTTTATTTAACTTTTATTAATTACACTTTATTCATTTTGTATCCCCCCATAAGCCCCTCCTTCCTCCCCTCCTGGTCCCACCCTCCCCCCCTTTCTTCATGCATGCCCCTCCCCAAGTCCACTGATAGGGGAGGTCCTCCTCTCCTTCTTTCTGATCTTAGTCTATCAGTTCTCATCAGAAGTGGCTGCATTGTCAGGGTTCTAGGTTATCTCCATGAATAGTCCTTGGTTGGAGTATGAGTCTCTGGGAAGTTCCCTGTGTTCAAATTTTCTTGTTCTGTTGCTCTCCTTGTGGAGTTCCTGTCCTCTCCAGCTCTTACTATTTCCCACTTCTTACATAAAATTCCATTCAGTCTGCCCATCAGTTGGCCATCAGGCTCAGCATCTGCTTTGATAGTCTGCAGGGCAGAGGCTTTCAGAGGCCCTCTGTGGCAGGTTCCTAGGTTGTTTCCTGTTTTCTTCTTCTTCTGATGTTCATCCTCTTTGCCTTTCAGGATGGGGATTGAACATTTTAGTTAGGGTCCTCTCTTTTGCTTAGTTTGTTTAGATGTACAGATTTTAGTGGGTTTATCCTATGCTGTGTGTTTATATGAGTGAGTATATACCGTGTGTGTCTTTTTGCTTTTGGGACAACTCACTCAGGATGATCCTTTCCAGGTCCCACCATTTACCTGCAAATTTCATAATTTCTGGAGAGGTTGTGGAGAAAGGGGAACCCTTCTCCATTGCTGGTGGGAATGTAAACTTGTACAACCACTCTGGAAATCAATCTGGCGCTTTCTCAGACAACTAGGAATAGCACTTCCTCAAGATCCAGCCATACCACTCCTAGGTATATATCCAAAAGAGGCTCAAGTACACAAAAAGGACATTTGCTCAACCATGTTTGTAGCAGCCTTATTTGTAATAGCCAGAAGCTGGAAACAGCCCAGATGCCCCTCAACTGAAGAATGGATGCAGAAACTGTGGTACATCTATACAATGGAGTATTACTCAGCAATGAAAAATAAGGACATCCCTGATTTTTTTTTTCAGTCTGTCATTTGTAAGTAAAAGGGCTACTGATTTTTTGTGGGTTAGTCTTGTATCCAGCCTCAGTTGTAGGAGCTCCTTAGTGTATTTTTTGGGGTTACTTGTGTATGATATCATATTATCTGCAAATAAAGATACTTTGAGTTCTTCCTTTCCAATTTGTATCTCCTTCATCTTCTTTGGTTGTCTTATTTCTCTCCCTAAGACTTTCGGTACTATATTGAATAGATAAGAGTGAGTGGCAACCTTGTCTTGTTCCTGATTTTGGCGGAATTTAAGTTGATGTTGGCTATGGGCATACTGTAAACTGCCTTCATTGTGTTTAGTTAGGTATGTCCCTTGTATCCCTAATCCTTTTATCATGAAGGGCTGTTGGATTTTGTCAAAGGCCTTTTGTTACATCTTATCATAGAGATTTTTCTTTCAGTTTATTTTATGTAGGAGATTATATTTATTGACTTTTGCTCTGTATGTTCAGTATTTTGATTTTTATATGCCAAAGGACTTTCTGTTCTGGTTCATTCTATTTGGTGTTCTGTATGTATCTCTTTCTTTAAGTTGGGAATTTTTTTTTTCTCTATTCCTATTATTTTTAGATTTTTTTTTCATTGTGTCCCAGATTTCCTGGATGCTTTGTTTGTTTGTTTGTTTTTGGTTTGGAAATTTTTAGATTTAACATTTTCTTTGACCAGTGTATCCATTTTTTTTTCCCATCATATCTTCAGCATTTAAGACTCTCATCCATCTCCTGTAGTCTGTTGGTGAAGCTTGCTTCTGTAGTTCCTATTTGTATTTCTAATTTTGTTCATTCCAGCATTCCCTCAGTTTGCATTTCCTTCATTAATTCAACTTCCATCTTAAGGTCTTGAACAGTTTTATTCATTTCCTCGCACTGTTTGTTTGGGTGTTCCTGGGTTTCTTTAGAGATTTATTAATTTTTCTCTCTAATTACCTCTAGCATCTCTATGAAGCTGTTTTTCGGTCTTTTTTTTTCTTGGGCTTCAGCGAGGTTGGAATATTCAGTCCTGCCGTGGCAGAGTAGCTGGTCTGCAGTGGAGACATACTGTCCTAGCCATTATTGATGGTGTTTTTGTGCTGACATCTAGGCATCTGGGATTGGGATGATGGTAGGACTAGGTAATGTTGTCTGCTTCTGCCTCTGCTGGATGTGTTCTTTCTTCCTTGTTCTGATGCAGAGCCAGGGATGAGGCTCAGGGATTGGATCTGAGGGAACAGAGGGAGAAGAGGATTGCTGCAGGTAGCCTACCTGGTCTTTTTGGTGCTCTATACTTATAAATAAAATTTCATTAGAACACACCTGCATTCATTCCTTTATGTCTTTTTCTCTGGCTGTTTTCATGGTACAGTGGTGACCAAGTTGAGTTGTGAGTAGCTGTGACAGCGACAATATGGACTGAAAACATAAAATATTCACTGATTGGCTTTTACAGAATTTTTTGCCAGTGCCAGTTCTAGAATCAGAAAGCAAGTACAGCGTTTTAAGCTAATTTTTCTCATTTGCATTTGTTTCAGTTTCACCATTGTGAGCTTCACCTACAGTACAAACTTGGCTCAGACTCCTAGCAATTGTTAAAACTGAAAATTATGAAAAGTCTGCCAAAGCTTGCAAGACTGACAGTGGATTGAATAGTACTAAGAGCCGAGTATTGTGGAAGTGCAGCGGTCTCAGATAGATAGTATAATTTTCCATAAGACACAGCTTGCATTTTATCCAAATGTATTTTGCTGAAGCAAAAAATGAAATCTGCTCCAGAGCAGCAGTTCTCAACCTGTGGGCCATGACCCCTTTGGATGGGGCAGTGAAAAGACCCCCTTCATGGGGGTTGCATATCAGATACATACATTACAGTTCTTAAAAGTAGCAAAATTACAGTTGTGAAGTAGCAACAAAAAGAACTTTATGGTTGGAGGTCACCGCAACATGAAGAACTGTATGTATTAAAGGGTCTCAGCATTAGGAAGGTTGAGAACCACGGCTCTAGAACACACTGAATTCTACAGATGAAGTGATTAGAAATGTCTAGAATTTAGTGTACTTGAAGTACTGACAAGTCAATATTTCCTTTTTTTTAAAATAGGAACTTTACTGGTTATTTATAACTTAAAGCTGCTGCTTAGTGGAGAGCCAGAGTTGGATGTTAAAACTGACAAAGAAGATATACTGATGGCTGAAGCTCTGGAGGAGTGAGTAACAGTGTGTTTGAATGGCAGTGGGCACTGTTTGAATGGAGTTGGGAACTTTACATTCCAGCTGCAGGTCTGAGACCCTTACCACTCTGACAATTCGTTTTGTATCAAACACAGAAAGAAATTAGGCAAGATAGGTGGTTCCCAAAACATGTTCAAACTTCCAGTGACCTAGGCAGCTTCCTAAATATGTGATGGTCTCATCAAGAGTTCATGTTCAGACTCTCTGGATATCAAGGTTGGAAAATAATATATTCCAGATGTTTTTCAGGTGACACAGAATGCCAGAACATTTGGAAACTATTGGATAATAAGACCTGTTCCTTAATAATGTATTCCTATTTCACATATATTAAAACAACATCAGAGTTTTCTGCTATCAAAGGTCAACAAAGATGTGTCGGTATTAGTGGGTCTGCAGATGGAGAAGGGAGCAGAAAAGAATATGACTGAAAACAAAAAGAATATGATGAGAAGGCAATTACAGAGTTTGTGTGTACAAGAGGGCCTTATGTGAACTTCCCTGTACATAAAAAAATCTACTAGCATAATCATTCTTATCTATAAGTACTGAGAGAAGGTACTTGTGGCCAAGAAAGATCTTTCAGAGAGTGAGATGGCTTTAAAATAACTTACCGAGGCTTGCCAACTGGTTTATGCAGTGTCACAGACTCTAGACTAGAAGGGACTTCAAATGCAGCTTAAGGGGCTGGAGAGTTGGCTCAGCAGTTAAGAGGGCTTGTTGCTCTTCCAGAGGATCTGAGTTTGATCCTAGAATCCTAGTTGGGCAGCTCACAGTTGTCTGTGACTCTGGCTTCAGGGAATCCTATGCTTTCTTCTGACTTCTCCAGATGTGCACATGTGTGCACACACACAGTGCTTAGCACATAAAAGTAAGTTTTCTCAAAAACAAACTAACTTACTATAACTCAGTTTGTTTTATGTATTGTTACCTAATCTTTTTTTAAACTTTTTATTGATTCTTTGCGAGTTTCACATCATGCACTCCAGTTCCACTCCTCTCTCGGTCCCCTCATACTCACTCTTTGCCCTTGCAACCTTCCCTCCAAAGTAAAACATGTGCACACAACACACACACACACACACACACACACACACACACACACACACACACACAGCATAGAAAACACTCATTGTGGAAGCTATAGTATGGCACAATGTGTTCCACAGTATATCTCTCTGTCCACACATCTCCACCTGAAAACGTTCATTGCAGTGAGTCATTGGTCTGGTTCAAGATCCCTGGATTCTGTGATGCCATCAATATTGGATGCTTATCAGGATTCCTCCCAGTTATCCTGTTATTGCCCTGTGTCATGGAGATTTTGCTTTGGATCAGCAGGACTCTCCCTTTCACATGCCCCAACCATTCACAAATAATAGAGATGTTGGGGTGGGCCAGTTCAGAGCCCTGGCTCTTGGCCTGGGTGCTGGCAGAGCTGGTCAGCTCGCCCAGTCTTCCTTATCTGCCCACCAGGGTGAGCTTTCTAGCACTGCTCTGGCTAGATCACCCAATGGCACCATCAGCAGGAGGCAGGGTCATCTCTCATGCTCTCATGCCCTCAGGGCTGGCTCACTTTCAGCCTTGCTTCAGAGCCAGCTCCACTGTGCTGCCTAGTCCAGGCCCAGATCCCACTCTCCCAAGTGCTTCAGCCTGTGAGCAGCCCCTGGGGCTGTCTCATTCACTGTGTTTTTCAAGGAGAGGTTCAGGACCCGCTTTTCTGAGTGCTATAGCCAGTGAGGGGCCAGGGCTCGCTTGCTTGCCTGCTCTCATATCCTCAGGACCAGCTCTCCTGATTATCGCAGGTGGCAAGGGGGGAGGGAGAAGGGCGTCACCCCCATGCCCTTGCCACCTCACAGCAGATGAGTGGTGGAGCCAGCTCTCTCTTGCTTTCATCCTCAGGACTGCTCACCTGTGCCCCATCTACCAAAGACAGCACTATTGTACTGCCCAGGAGAGGTGCAGGGCTTGCTTGAGTGCTGCAGGCATCAAACTAGCTCCCCTGCTCTCGTGACCCCCAGGGCCAGGTCTCTGGACTCCTGCAGGTGGCAAGGGACAAGGCAGGGGTGGGGGCGGGGACCATCCCCACACCTATGTCACCTCAGGGCCTACAAGTGGTAGGGACAGCTCTCCCCAGCTTTCGCCCTTGGGGCTGGCTTGCCTGTCCCTCCCCCCAACAAGGGTCATTTCTGCTGTGCTCTCCCAGGTGAAGTGCAGGGCCCATTCTCCCATTCTCCCCAGTGCTGCATCTGGTGAGGGAAAGGGCTAGCTCTCTTGAGCTCATGATCCTGTGGCCAGCTTTCGTAACTGCTGAAGGAGTGTGTGTGGGTGCATTCACCTCTGTGCCTGTGCGACCCCATGGCAGACAAGTGGTGGGGTCAGCTCTCCCACAAGCACACCCTTGGGGCCAGCTCACTCACACCCACACTATCAGGGTCAGCTCCACACTGCTGCCTTGGTGAGGCACAGGGCCCACTCTCTAGTGGGTTTGCTGCCAGTGTTGAAAGACTGGCCAGCTCTCCGGAGTGCCCCATCCAGTGAGGGGCAGGGCCAGTCCTGCACAGTCCCTGGATATCCACGCGGGCCCCAGGTGGCAGGGCTGGCTACTGACAACAGGCTACTTCTCTCCAGCGTTGAGTCTCCAGTCCCATCTTTCTTCTACAAAGCTTACGCTACTCCACTTTTCTTCCTCTCCCATCTGACTACCACACACTCACACACAGTGGTGGTTTTAGCTCCAGGCTGGCCATGCAGGTACAGGCCCCTGGATGACATCCTCCACCCACACTGCATGGTGTGTGGGCAAGCAGGTGTCTATGGCCTGCCTGTACCGTGCACTGGAGGGCAGTCTGTGGGTGGCATGTGGTCTGTAGGTTTTTGTCTGTCTTCCCCTTTCTCTGCTGTATCTGATTTGATTTGATTTTTATGAGTCCTAGGCATAAAACAGCTTTGGCCACGAAGCCAGGCATCAAGCTAGGATGGGCAAAGGACTTCCATCTGCTTTGCCCCTGACTGACAACACCAACAGTAAGGTGTCCATTTGTCCATTGCCAGGGCATACCTAATGTAATCTTAAATTTCTTACTAGCTATGTTAAGTCAAAAACACATGGAAACACTTTTAGTACTATTTTATTTAATCCCATATATCCAAAACAATACAGTTTCAGTCTCAATATGAAAAATGCACATGAGGTATTTCCTGTTCTTTCTTTCCTTACAAAATCTTTGGCTCTAGAGTAACTCCAGAATCACACAGGAATTTGGAGTGGTGTCCAGGAGCAGTAGTAGCCAGTAGCTACAGTGCTCAACAGGATGGCTTTAGCCTGAGGCCATGTGACTCATGTACACATATCCGTTTAGCAGAGAGCATCTTTTCTTTTGCCTGTGAGGCAAACCTTAGAAAGTCTACTCTAGCCAAGTGTTTGCCAACATACTCTTGCATCACCTTTTGTAACCTTTCCATTGTATATTTTTTTCTCATTTTCCAACACGTGGAATTCTGAATAAACACAAATAGGGAGGATTTTGTTCATTTAGGAAAAAAAAATACATCCAGCCTAATTTCTGTAGTGCTGGGAACCCCCTTGCCAACATTAATATGCCAGTATCAGGACGGAGGCCAGTGTTGTTACCGGCACCTCCATTACACTCTCCACACTTCCCGCTGCCCCTGCCCTTCTGTTTAACAGTTGGTTCCAAAACTGATATTTCATGCTATTTAAAAGCCCTGAATACAAATTTTCAAATAGTTATCTGTCAGCGTGCCTTGGCATTTCAACATTAATGTCAGAAAACGATACATTATTAGAGGAATAATTTGTCACCCTAAGTTGAGGGAGAAAGTTCTCACTGTTTCCAGATTGTCTAATGATGCCTGAAGCTTCTCAAGACATTTATGCAGTTAATTACAAAATAAAGAAGATGAATCAGACCTAGGGCACCATATGGTTTTGTGTAGGGAATTGACTTGAGTTTTTAAATTTGGCAGGTTTTGTTTGTTTGTTTGTTTGTTGAGCAATTTTTTTTTCATGGTTCAATCATGAGAAGGCTTTCTGAGATAATGGGATTTTATGAAGAAGGACTATCACAAAGAGGAGACAGTGATTTCTGTACCCAGGGTACGATGCTCTCTAGCCTGCAGGGTGGAGCCTGGTGGCACCAAGAAGGGGGAAGAGCACTGGGTCTTTGGCTGTATCACTGCTATTTTCTCCTCTAAGATGTAGTTGGGCTACATGTTGGCTTTGACCTACTGTCTCTTTAGCACCCTCAAAATCCTTTTAAAACTTAAGAGGATATGTATTTTTTATTTGTTAAAAGTGTGTCACAAAGCTTTCGAGATAGTGGGGTGCTTAGTAGGTTTATATAGGTAGTACCAAATGCTACCCCCAACAGGCTAGAGAGCAGTTAACAGGGCCAGAGGAATAGCCCATGAAGGTCTCCCGAGCTGTCATCAATGGCTTCTGAAAAACATTTTGCTAAGTATGGTTTGCATCCCGCTTTTGAGAGCAAGTGTTCTGCAGTATAATTAGTCGTTTGCATTTCTTTCTCTGTGCTTATTATTACATCCCACTTTAGCTGCTCTGCAGCTTTCTACATCTGTCCAAATTAACTCTTCAATCTTAGAACTATGTAACTTTCAGTTTTGGAAATTGAGCTGATTTTGAAATTATTTATTTAGTTATTTGTGTGTGTGTGTGTAGAGTTGTGAAAATTTAAGCTTTTAAGCTTATATTGGACTGAGAGAACAGGCTTTTCCTCAGTATTTACTCTCTTTCACTTGTTTTGTTGGTTTGTTTGTTTATGTGAGACAGACTCTCAAATAGCCCAGGCTGGTCTTTAGCTCACTGTAGCTGCCAGTGACCTTGAAACTCAACATCCTCCTCCTCCATCTCCCAAGTGCTAGGATTGCAAGCATGTAGCTCTTGTACCACTGGGTCTGGGTTTCCACTCTATTCACTATAAATTCTGTTGTG